CGTTTATTCCTGGGTACCGAGACACTTATGCGGCTGGTGTGACGAGAGTAGGAAAACACAATGTCTCCGTGTCCTGCTCGTTTCAGAGTGGCATTGATAATAGACACCAAATCGTCTACATCGCTGTATGTTCCCGTCTTGATGGAAAGTCTATCCTCTTCTTCTTCTTCTTCTACACCATGTACCACATAGAGTTTGTTCGTTGCCTCGTCTATGTTCTCAAAGTGTACTTCAAACTGAGCCGATTCAACATGCAGGACTTTATCACGCGTATCGAGCTCCTTCACATTTAGAGTAAAGTTCGGTTTGTGCAATCCCCTGCTCACGCCCGACGTGTTGTTCGCCACTGTCAATATCACAGACATTCTGGTGTTGTGATGACACTCACTATAGATAGGTTTTATTTTTCATTTTCATCTCAAGAATGTAGTGTAGCATGTGTGCTATATATTATGTACAATCAAAGTAGCACTTTCATATATCGTAGTGTGCCATGAGTTCTGTGTGGATGCGCTGGATTGTGTGAGAAGATAAACTCTCTGCAAAGTGCAAATGACAGAACAACTTTGATGAAGTGCCGTTGAAGAATTGAGTACCACCAATACTATAATTGCAATCTTCGATTCCATTGGTCCTGGAAAATGGGACAGTGTCTAAGTTGGAATGTATCAAAATGGAGTTTACGTATAGAGTGAATAGGCCTTCTGAATTCCGAGCGTAACTTATGACACACTTTGTATCCAAGAGATCCGTCATACTCGACACAGGTTTATCCAAAGCCGCCGATAATTGGCTGACTACAGACGAAACGGGTATGTTGAATGATGAATGGCCGGGACGCGTGAAGTAGTTGCCACTTATGTGGGTGGCAGTGAACAACACGTACAAACTATCCAAGCTGAAATTTCCGACAGTATCGATATCGAATGCCTTCAATGCCATGTTTCTAGGGTCAGGTGCGTCCACTTGAATTACTTGGAACATTGCAAAAGACATGTTGTCGTGAAACAGATTGACGAATCGTTCTCTAATGGAAACTTCGCTGGGTTGTGTAATGTTGAGGTAGAAGTGATCGTCTCGGAACATGTCGATGCTGTTCACGTTGATTCTCTTGTCCTTCATGTCAACGAGATTTATCCCTCTGTATCTGTTTCTGCTCACCCTGGTGACGGATTCAAATCTGCTAGGATGAGAGTATATGTAGAGGTAGGCGTTTCTTCGAATGAGAGGTAGTAGATGAAACGGATCGGATAGGTTCTGATTTGATTGCGGACCCATGGGGCCTCTGGTTCCTTGAGGACCTATGGGGCCGATGATTCCTTGGAGACCCACGGGACCTCTGTTTCCTGGAGGACCGGTTGGACCGATGGTTCCTTGGGGACCCATGGGACCTGTGGTTCCTTGATCACCTTGCACACCACGTTCACCTTGTGGGCCGTCTTGCCCATCTTCTCCTCTAGGTCCAATCTCACCTTCAGGCCCGACCAATCCACGTTCTCCACGTGGTCCAACTTCACCTCTGGGACCTTCTGGACCAGGTATTCCTTGATCACCTTTTTGACCGCGTTCACCACCTTGCCCATCAGCTCCTCTAGGTCCAGTCTCACCTTCAGGACCGATCAATCCACGTTCTCCACGTGGACCAGCTTCACCTCTTGATCCATGAAGCCGACCAAACGCCTTCCATTTCGAGCTGAATTTCTTGTACACGATGAGCGTGGTTGCATCGAGATAGAAGTCACCATTTCTCCCTACAGAGTTCAGTGGCATGCCACCTCCGCTAAGCCATCCCAATCCCCGATCACCACGAGGTCCTTTCATCTTGCGCACAGTGTCCATACCAGTTTGCAATCTCGATGATGCTTGTTGGATTTCATTCTTGACCCAACCGGCAGGGACAGCACATGTCAAAGAACTATCATCGTACGCCAAATTACAGATGGAATGCTCGTTCATGTTGAGGTTAGCATCCATGGACACGGATCCATCTGTTTTCACGTGCAGCTCATCAGCTGCTATGGCTTGATCTGTGTAGCGCGTAGATCTGTTTTCCACATCTTCCACTTTGCTCTCATCGGCTTTCACCTCTTTCAGTTTCTCCACATCATGAACCAAGGTGTTTTCGGTGTCATCGTTCCCCACAACTGATTGTATTTCGGTAATATCATTCCGCATGCTTTGCATGTGCTTGAGGGAAGTCTCCTCCTCATCACTCCTATGGAAATGCGTAGCCCAGTACGCCATCTTCACACACACACACACACACACACACACACTGTTCTAATTATGATAGGAAATATTTTCTTTCTCAAATAAATCATTATGATACTCATGTGTGCTAGTGGTAATCTAATGAAGCGATGATATGTTAGCAAGAGAGAGAGAGAGAGAGAGAGAGAGAGAGAGTGAGAGAGCATGAAAAAAAAAAAAAAAAAAAAAAAAAAAAAAAAAAAAGGGTTAGGATATAAAGTCTTTCTGATCAATCAATGTGGTAAGATGACTAAGCATTTAGCAGATTCAAGTCCAGTGAATTGTCCGGTAGGGTGTCAGGGAGAGACGCTGCCGCCGCCACCGTTGTGTCAAACGCAATGTCAGCAGTCACGTTGTCAGCAGTGCTCCACTTCTTGAGGAATGCAATCACCAGTCGAGTCAATTCAGCCTCGGGAAGGTCTTGCACGGTGTCGTGATCCCTTTCACAAAGCCGTGAGTCTACAAACATCAGGGGGATTGCCGAAAGCCATGCCTTGAATTCGCACTTCTCCCTGTTGAAAGATATAGTGGAAGGATGCAGATAGAGCTGACACTCTTCGTTCATCGGGAAGTTGGGAACACCCTTGGTTGGCTTGAGATACAAAGCAGTCACACTCTTCCCTTGGTACATTGCAGGGAAGATGTTACTCCGTATCCTGTTGATATGTGGAGATCTCACGGCACGTCTCAAAGGTGTTGAGGTCTTCAGGAAGAATTGAATGAGATCGTCTTGTGAAGCCTGGACGTACAGCTTAAGTTGACCAAAGCGTCCTTCACATACCGTGCCATTGACAAGCATGCCCGGTAAATCACCGCGCGTATAGTAGAAATCGGTGCCAGGAGCAACATGATAGTCGTGGGCGGTCTTGCTGTACATTGCTTGAACACACTCTGCTGCCCCATCCGTAATAATGGTGGCGACACCTGGTAGTATGGTAGGACGAGGAGATGGCATCTTGATCTTAGGCAGAGGCTCCAGATTCGGATTACGGCTAGCACGTCGCTTGTAGAGACCGGGTTTCTTTATCGTCTTGATAGCGAACGGGTCAATACCCAAACAGTCCACAACATCTTCACCAGCAACAACAGCATCAGTGGCCATCATGATATCAGTCACGAGAGATCCAGTGAGATCCAGAGGGAGAGAGAGAGAGAGAGAAGGCTTGAGCAACGAAACAACAAAGGCAGTTGTGAGTGAATGGAGGACTGTGCTTGCACATATATACCCTTTTGACCGCCGCCGAGTTTGAAATAACATCCTATGGGAGGTGACGACCTTGGAGAACACGGTGAAATTGTTCAAGAATCAACCAATCAGAGGACACGGTGAGCAGATGATAAGATTTAACCAATCACAGCACGACTTGCACTTGACCTGTCGGAACATGTCTCGGTCATGACTGAACGTGTCTCGACCATGTCTCAGAACAGGTTCCCGAGAGTGTAAATCTCCAACGCATTGCTAACATCGATGACGTACTGCAGTCTTGGTAAATTGATAGAGTATGTTGGCAAGATCAGGTGGGAGAGAGGTCACGTGATCTACTAAATAATCCAGACTGTAGTCATGCCAACAATAGGCATCTATTAGAAGATGCATCATGGACAGGTCTGCAGGTGACATCAAGGACAAATTAACTTTCAGAGTGTTCAGCTGTCTAGCGGACAGAGGACCCTTGATGTGTTCCATGAGATGTAGAAGAAACATCAGTGGAAAACATGATGGAAGAGGTTGTGTAATGCGGCTGCTTCTCAACCATGATACATTACTGCGCGGTAAAGAAGATCGCAGTGTGCGCACTGCATCATGATCCTCATGAAGTATACACGATAATGCTATTGCATAGTTCATGCTTTTATAGCTGCTGGACTTCTTCATTGCTTGCAGTGCCTCTTGAACAGGGTGAAACTGTGCATGCGGTAAAGTGAAGTCGATCTTGTTGAGAAAATGTACAAGATGACGATTCACACCTTGAATGCGATCGGAATCCGTGTAGGTCTTTATGCTAGTACAACGCTCTCTCCACTTTACCTCGGGCATGTAAATGTCAGCCATTACCAATCCACACTGAGAACAAACTCTATGACCAGCATGCTCAACTTGTTCTTCACGATGATAACACACTTCTTCACTTTCCTCTATCTCCTTCTTCTTCTTCTTCTTCTTTTCCTCCAGCACACATTGCTTCTTTGAACGTACATAAGCATACAGGATCTCAAATTCAGAATCCATTTTCACTGCACCACAACAACTTGAAACTGACTGGATCATCATTCAAGAACACACCTTTTATACTTACATAATGATGACACCATATTACTTTATTGTTTAGGGTAGAGCATAACACCCCAATACATATTTTCAATAATACCCCCCTTTTTTTTTTGAGGTAGGGGCACCCCCTGGCACATATTTTTATCCGCAAAAAAACCGGGCCAAAAATAATTTTCACCGCAAAAATGGGGTACTATTAGTACCCCATTTTTCAATAATACCCCATTTTTTGGGACCCGGGCGCCCCCTGGCCCAGAACCCGCTCGTCCATTCCTACTCCCCCCCCCCCCCCTCGACCCCCTCCCCCGCATCCACCTCCCCAGCACACATACACAAAAAACTGCACGACCTATATCTGGTTCATCACCTATGGGCGGGATGGGAGTGGGGGTGGGGGTGGGGTGTCCCACCCTTCCCAGAAAAGGAAGGCTAAAAATCAAATATTTTACCCAACAGACATACAGAGTACACGTACCTGATTTCCGTGATGTGTCCTTTGTCAAGACTCTTCAGCGCGTTGCGTGCCTCTTCCAGAGCGGGCAAGGCGGCACTCAGCGATTCTTCAGCTTCGGCCTGTGAACACATACACATACATAGACAGACAGACAGACAGACAGACAGACAGACAGACAGACACGTCATATGACCATTGACCATTTAACGCCCATCACCGGAGGCAATGATAGCAATGCTACAGCAGAAGTCATAGCAACTTGTGCTGGGATTGCACCATTCAACAGCTTGCAAGGCTGAAGAATTGACCGCCACTATTCAGCCTGGTCTACACCACACAGCGATGAATAGACCGATCCCCTTATTATTGTCTGGGTTCGAGCAAGGGGGCAACTCCGCAGTCGCGTGGGATCCTGCTGCACACACGCGACCAACCTCACCTCAGCTGTGCGTGACTTCTCGCATGCGAAGTGCAGAGCACGCGAAATCTACATGCAGTGCAAGCCTGTCTACAAAAATGCCACAAGGACTTTTGATTTGAGCTGTTTTGTTTTTGTTTAGACGTCTTCCTTTTTACGACTTCAGGATGCCTTCTCAGGATCATTGCTGCGTTCCTCACTGTCAGAACAGGAGGACGAAGCAAACAAGCAAACTCCTTTCCTCGTGTGGAGCCACAGCGGCCTGGAGCAAGCGGATCCAGGCTATTCCCCGCGAGGAAGGACGTAGTTTTAGGGTCACTCTGAATATTTGAGTTGCAGCGATCATTTCGATCCCGAAATCGAAATCGTTTTGCCCAGCTCTACAAGGGCAGGACGAGTCCAGGAAACCAAACAGCCGTCCTACGGTGCCAGGTTTGCTTTTCGCAAGAGAGTGCAGTCTGGACGCCCTGCTCCCCATGCTCGCAAAACAGTATTTGCTGAGCCTAGTGCAGTTCGGTCATGGAAGTGCAGCGTCTGCATCACGAGCTCCCCATGCTCGCAAACCAGTATTTTGCTGAAAGGCAACGGCACTTTGAGTTGGAAAGGAACCTGGCTTAGTGCAGTTTGGTCCTGTAATGGAAGTGCAGCATCTGCATCAGGAACTGGCAGCAAGTAGAGCTCGTGTACAGAGTCTCGCGGAGCAGTCGGACGATGTGAGGACTGGGGTGAAGAAAGCCGAAAACAGCTTACGTACAATAACATAAAGAAAGACTCTGAGCCGCTCCAGTTTCTGACTGGTTTGCCTTCAGGTGTTTGGACCGCTCTGTGGGACTTCTTTGAGCCTAGCCGAGAAAATGTACTGCGCCGCGCCAGATCTGCGAAGACGGAAGCTGAGGGACGGCGGATACAGTTGGAGGTGGCCGTAAATCGCCAATGAGCATGTAATGGAGGATCAGCTGCTATTGGCATTGATGTGTCTAAGCCTGGGCCGAATGGAACAGAAGCTGGCATGCGTGGCACAAGTTTATCATCTGTTTCACGGTATATAGCTAGCTGAGCTGGAAAGATGTCTTGTTCCTCCGTTTGGGCATGATCCCCATTTGGGCGAGCTGGCGAGATGTTCAGTCATCAATGCCATGTACCGCAAGACATTCTGCATTGTGGATGAAACAGTTCTATTTTGCCATGCACTTAGGGTTCTCGCACCGGCACTGCACAACAAGACCCAACAGATCCTTGCGCTCTTATTTTCTCCCACGGTAACATTGCTGATCACAACACCCGGTAGCCAGTCGCAGATGCAACCAAATCAACCAGGTTCTCTTACTCTTTTTTTTCCAATACTGAAACCAAAGGTATACCAATATTTGCATCGAATGCTGATGATTTCAATACTGTCCACCAGTACAATGCATTACCAGACTGGCATATAATCTTGATATAAATATTATCCCTTTCGCAATCACTGTCATTGCTTTCTTAGATCTCCAATCATCAATATCGGACCATAAACCGTCTATCATCTTATATTATATCATCATTAGTATCCTGCTACTATCCTCCTCTAACGATGAGCTCGAAGAAACGAAACAGCTGTCTAGAGGTGTAAACAATATCTGTCAACGGAAGTGTCCTTGCTGTGCTGGTGTGTTTATGCTTCGAGCATTAGTTCGGCCAAGAGCGCATGGTGGTGGCGGGTTGAGGATGTAGTACAGCGGAGTATGACCGAAAGCTCTGTCACAATGTATTTTATTAGGAAGGTATAGAAACGGAAAAAAAACTATCTTCATCTTGGGCGTAAACAGCCCATCTCACATTAAATATACTAGAAAATAGTTCACTCGGAACATGCAGTCTTCCTAAGAGAGAGAGGGGGGGGGGGGGGGGCGGGGGAAATATTCATAGGTTCGAAAGAACCACACACACACTTTGCTGCAGACAGCGGCAAGCTTTGGCCCTCGTGCTTCGAAGAGGGAGCAATCCACTGCGCTACGCTTGCGATTAACAGCAAGCTTCGACTTTCCAAAGGTACGACTCATCACTGGCTCTGGGGTAATGTTCCTGGAACAAATGCCCCATTGCCGACTGAGGGCCAGGGAGCACGCAATCTGCCTTCCTGGGGGAGAAGTGTTCCAGCACAAGAAGCAGCACGAATACATGCTGACAAAGACCACCATCACCACCAGCCGGCACACAGCACACTGTTCATCAAACACCATCCACTCCTGCCATGTGTTTGCACTGTCCTCCTCTAGCTCTTCACGCTCAACAAATACCACGCACTGTTCATCGGTTTTTTTATTGCTTCCTCTGGGTTGGCTAGCCCTTCGACTTGACAAAACAGCGATCACCACTGCTATAGTCGCTTCCACCAGTGGCTTTTCCTGTCTTTGCAAGGTGTCCAAAGATGGCTGCTGTTGTCACTACAGGCAAATCAGAAGTACTTTAGTGGCTGATGTCCAACTAGATCGTTGGAAAATCGATTTTTCCACTTCAGGGCTGCTGATCGCGATCGCGACTTGATGACTTGGCAGCACCACGGTTACCTTCATAGAAGATGGCTCTGGAGAGGAAAAGGCAGACCAGAAAAAAGGTTACTATTATCTTCAGCACCAATCTCAAGGAGAAAGAAATACGGTCTGCTGTAGCCTAGGCACAAAATAAATCTCACAACACGATTCGCGATTCGAATATTTCAACAACAAAAAAACTCACCTCTGGAGTAACTCCTGTTTGTGGCCCGAGATCGTTCCCTCCCGCGCCTTGAAAAAATCCTGCAGCTGCATCACAGTCGACATGTCTCTCGGAGACTCTGCTCCTACCAGCAGGAGGTTCAGCACCGCTCGAAGCCATAGCAAACCACTTGAACTAAGCAGAAGACATTCCAAAACAAACCTGAAACACACTGTCAAAGATGCTGTCACGTTCAAAAACTAGCTCGATCGCGAGTGAGGTTGCCCCCGTGCTCGAACCCAGTATAATAAGGGGATCGGTCTATTGACTGACAGAGACAGACATACATACGCACACGTGCATACGACCACACACAGACATGAACACACACACACACACAAACACACACACACAAACACACACACACACACGTGCACACACACACACACACACATGCACACACACACACACACACACACACATGTGCACACACACACACACAAACACACACACTCACACACACACACACCTTGACCTTTGACCTTTGACGCCCATCGCCGGAGGCGATGATAGCAATGCTACGGCAGAAGCCATAGCAACTTGTGCTGGGATTACACCATTCAACAGCTTGCAAGGCTGAAGAATTGACCGTCACTATTCAGCCTGGTCTACACCATACAGCTATTTGGAGTGACATTTTCTGGCCAGTGAATCCCTTTTTTGGTCTTTTTCATTTTTCATTTTTTTTTTTTTTTTTTCCCGCACACACATCACACCACATACTCCGGCATGCACTGGCTGTTGGTAACCACCCAGGAGAATGAAAGAAAAGTCAGGAAGAGTCTGAGAAAGAGAAGAAAGACGTGTGTGACCATAATCGTCGGGAATCGAACCCGCAATCTATCGATTGGAAATCGCTGCACATACCACTGCACCATATGTGACACACACACACACACACACACACACACACACACACACACACACACACACACACACACACACACACACACATACACACATGTACACACACACACACACACACACGATAGCCAAACAGCTAGTACTACTGCACAGTCCCTAAAGCCCACAGTCAAACTAACACGCAACCAGCTTCTTGTCAGCACAAGAGCACAGAGTTCGTGCGAGAGTGAACAACCAAGCCATGCAAACCAACGCATTAAAATTTCTTCGTGTACGGACAAAAGATTTTCACCAAGCTAAGCTGGTTGTGTTTCCCACTACAAATGTATAGCCGGTTGTAACACGAACGCACAAACTTTACTTTATACATATTTTTTATTTTTTACACGTCCAGCCGAGTCTCACCTTTTCCACGGCAATGACCTTATTCTGCTCCTCAATCTCGGCGCTCTTAGCAATGGCCACTTGCTGCTTCTCCTCGGCCAGGCCTTTGCGCTGCACGATCTCCTCGAGCAGTGTTTCACAGGCCTGGGTCTTCTCCTTGACAGCGACCTGCTGAACAGCCAGCTTCTTTCCCATCTCGCTTATGGCCTCGGCGGCGTCGTTTAGCTTCTGCAAGCCGCTTGTAAGACGAGACGACTGCCGGCGGTGTGCAGTGGAGTAGAGCGAGCAGCAGGGTGGAGAGTGTTTTTAAAGTAAGAGGGAAAGCAGGAGAACAAAGATTAAACTCAGACATCAGACATCAGACTATTGGGTCTCAGCTACCATGCCTTGGATCTCCTCTTGTAGATCGTTGAGTAGGCGTTCACCTTGTGCAGCCTGCTCTAATTGACAGCTAGTGAATTTCCACAAGCCTACAGCCTCTGTTAATGCAAAGCCCCCAGAGAGCGCATGTGGAGGTGGAGGTGGAATTGCTCTTTTGATAATGCCGAAAGCTACTGCCTACCTACTGATCTAGAGCCAGATATGTTTGAAGTTTGAACAAGAGTGCTGTGCAAAGTGAAGAATATGTACGCACATACACGTACACATGCTCATGCACATGCACACACGTGCGTACGCATACATACTACTCGCAATCCCTCAACACACCGAGAAAAACAAAAAACACTTTGAGGCAATGTGTGCATGATCCAGACCTGATCGGAAACTTTCTTTTTCTTCTCATCCAGCAGTCTCATGTAGGTGTTGATGAAGTCCAGGTAGTTCTTCGGTGTGACACAGTTGACCCGGCGTAGCTTGCGCAGGAACATGTCGCTGTTCTCGCCAACGGACATGTGAACAAACACTACGTGTGCCACGATGGATTCCTTTAGCGTCTCGCTATCGATGTGCGTACACTGTGCGTGTGAAGAGAGAGAGAGAGAGAGAGAGAGAGAGAGAGAGAGAGAGAGAGAGTTGGGAAAGATTGACAGGCAAGTAGGCAAACGGAGACTTGGACAGACACAACAACATGAGCTCGACTTATTTTTACAAGCGGGTACTCGTTCTGAAGAGTACTCGAACATGGTCTTGCATGGTCTTGCATGGTCTTGCATGGCGAAACTTTACAAACTAGAAAAATAGTACTTTAGTGACCCACAAAAGCCCATGCGCTTATTAGCGAGTTTTGACAAATTGGAAATTTTTTGAAGGTCGATTGGTGTCACATAATTATAGGAGCATACGGTTGTAATCAAGTTACCAGTGTGGAATTTGCAAATTGCACACTAAATCCAGTAAATATGGTACAATGGTGGTGTCAGTGTGTCGCGGGATTGGGTTCACTTATACCGTATATTCTCTATTATAAGCGCCGTGCTTATATTTTTCAACACCCCTCTACCCCGTGCTTACATTGGAGACCCCCCCCCCCCCCCCCCGCGCTTATATTGGAGACCGCGCTTATATTTTTTCAATCAATACATCCATACGGAGCAAGAAGAAATACATGCTGGATATCATGCATGCAGCATTGATTTCCACCAAGACCGTGCTAATAATAGAGACTGTGCTTATAATGTTTCGAAAGGTGCTCACGGTGTGCTAGTATTAGAGGCTGTGCTAGTGATGGAGACCTGTGCTTATACAGTCAACTTTGCGAATAACGACATTCGGCGGGGCATCAGAAAAGTGTCCTTATTCGCGAAGTGTCGTTATATCCGAAGTCCCATTTGAATGTATGTGAACCCATATTTTGTATAGTATGACATGCATATCGAAATGAAGCTCTTTTCATGCTCTACGTCAATTTGTACTTTACTTTCGTATTGCAATTGAAAGGAACAATAAAGTCAATATCCAAGGGAAATATATTGAAAAATTAACCTTTTGGAGCCATCTGCAGGGACATGTTCATGTACATGTATGAAGATTAATGTGCAATCATGTACAACATAGGTGTGCTGATCATTCCAACTATTTTGAAGAAAAGAAAAAAGAAAAAGCACCCCCCCCCCCCCCCCTGGCTGTATCTTCTTGTACATGTATGTGTGCCTTATCCATCGCCACGGGTTCTGGTACTTCTGCATGACACTTGACAGGTACTTGAAATAGCTGTCAAAAAGCCAGAAAGTCGTTATTCAAGCAGTGAATATGACCTCGGGGCACTAAAATCATGTCGCTATTCGCGAATTGTCGTTATTCAGATAGTCGTTATATCCGAAGTTAAATGTATACAGTCAGATGGGACTTTGCTCTGGGCATGGAAATGCTGTCGTTATTCGCGAATTGTCGTTATATCCGAAGTCGTTATTAGCGAAGTTGACTGTAATAGAGAATATACGGTATGCCCATGTGCTTCTGTGTGAGGGTGCCCGGATATAGGCACATGTGCTTTAATGTCCGTCACTACAGGTACGTTATTCTGGAACGAAGAAATAGTCAACATCACTCAAGTATTCACTCTGGGGTTTTTCATGAGCACTCAAACTAAATAAATTCTTGTATTCAGATGAGTACAATCACACACGCACGCACACGCGCACGCACACACACACACACACACACACACACACAGAGCACTTACATCACCCAGAAAGACGGACGCGACGGCGTGCAGCGCCTGTTTGGGCCATGGCATGAACCAGTCGATAACCGTGTTGCTAACCAGACCGGGAAAGTTACGACAGCGCGTACGCAGTGTGTCACCCGACGGAGACATTGCCAGCACAATGTGAAGGTTGTTAGCGCATTTCTTGACGAAATACGACCAGATACTCTCTCGGGCCGGGCTGGATCCGGCCTTCATTGCTTCGTCACGTGTCTGTGTGCACAACGGATAGATGGATATGGACATACACAAATGCATGCACAGATAGACAGATATACAAACACACCAGAATCATATGCTGTACAGCATCCTCCCCCACGCACACACGGAACGCACGAGCTCAAAAATGGGCATTGCCCGAAAATTATACTCGAAAAGTTGTACCCCCCCCCCCCCCCCCCAGCAGTAACAACATACCAGAAACATCAACTACTCCTGGGTTTGATATCGAACTGGTCAGCATGAACAGTCGCCACCCTAAATACCCACACGTCTGCTCTGAGCTACGGACATTTACCAAAATAGGAACGGTGTCAGGATTGGGGCAGCTTTGTCAAGAGGAGGGAGGGGAGGGGGAGGGGGAGGGGAGGGGGAGTGGGAGGGGAGGGGGAGGGGAGGGGAGGGGGAGGGGAGGGGGAGGGGGGGGGGTGTACCTGATTTAGCAGACTGTCTTTTTCATCGTCGGCAAACAATGCTGGTACCATTCCTGATGTCAACATGTTGTTGATCAATTCCAGGAATCCTGCACCAAAACAAGAACACACACGCATGCACACACACACTCACACACACACACACACACACACACACACACACACACACACACACACACACGCACACACGCACGCACAACAATGGCATCAAGACATGTACGTACACATGTGCATGATACGTCCGAGAGCAAACAGACAGACAGACAGACAGACAGAGACATGGAGAAAGATGTAGAAGATAGACAAAGAAGAGAGACAGATGGACAAACAGACAGCATGACAAATGGAGAAAGATAGACAACTAGAAGGAAAACAGGAAGTATAAAACGTCCTACATGCATACACACACATACACCATACACACACACACACACACACACACACACACACACACGCACGCACACACACACACACACACACACACACACACACACATGCGCGCGCGCGCGAACACATACCTTCCTGTGCGACGTGCGCATCCGTGAAGAGGAAGACGACTTTCTTGTTCTCCAAACCCAGTTTGTTATAGAGCACTTTGAGGTCTTCACGGAACTCGGGCTCTCCATAGCCACGGCTGAGAGTTATCTCAAATACCTACAGGTCACAAACATGATACGCAATGGAGAAACTGCTACAGGTACTATATTACACCTTCCTAAGGGGCCATCCGGAATTATCGATAATTTTCACGGAACGAAAAAGTTTAGTTATGAGAAAGGGAGTTTGTCCGGTTGAAAACTTCGTCCATGGATCATAAGGGTGTATAGAAAAGCTGGACAAATCGACATTAGTCCGGCATTTAATTTAGTCCAAAAGTTCCTAGGACGAAAAAGACGAAATTAAATTCCAGACGAATATTTCTGCTTATAGAGTATTAACGTTTTCGCTATGTTTGTGACAATGACAATGCCAAACAAGCACAACAGTGTGTCTGTAATGCACAGTGTTTGTCGCAGCATTGTCTCTCTCCGTACTGTCTCTCTCCGTACTGTCTCTCTCCATACTGTCTCTCTCCATACTGTCTCTCTCCATACTGTCTCTCTCCATACTGTCTCCCTCTATACTGTCTCTCTCCGTACTGTCTCTCTCCGTACTGTCTCTCTCCATACTGTCTCTCTCCATACTGTCTCTCTCCCGTCCGTATTTTATACGTGCATGCTCGATGTAAATAAATCAGTCTTTTTTTCTTGTCCTGCAATGGACTCCTGCGTGGCTTGCACCTCACACCCAGATGTTACTAACATCACACCCAGACGTTACTCACCTCACACCCGGCCGTGAACGCGGCCAATTTAGTCAAGCTCTGCTTTCCGGAGCCGCCCACACCAACCAGGAGGCAGTGGCCTTCGTCCATGCGTATCACACGGTGGATACGTGTCAAGTGCTCCAGGGCATCGTCAAACAGGACCAGGTTCATGGGTGGGTTGTCGAAGTTATGCTCTTCAAGTTGCTGTTTGCCGTGGTGGGCCGTAGGTACGGTGGTGGTAACACAGACAGAGGTGGATGGACGGACAGACAGACAGACGGATGGATGGATGGACGGACAGACGGGTGGATGGACCGACAGACAAGCAGATGGATAGACGGACGGACGGACGGGCGGATAGACAGACAGACATACAGAGCAGACAGACAGACAGACAGATAGACAGACAGACAGGCAGGCAGGCAGACATACACACAGACAGAGCAGGCAGTTAAATATACCATCTGATAAGGTGATGACAAAAGGAGAAGGAAAACGTTCAACACCGATAACTAGATATGTCTTCTTGGCTGAGAAGTTTCCATATGTACAGCTACTGCAACAATCATGTGCTAACACACACACGCACACACGCACACACAAACGCACACAAGCACACACACACACACGCACGCACACGCGCACACACACACACACACACACACACACACACACACATGTATGACGGGTACAGGCGCTCACCGATTCGAAGACTTTCTTGGCTGTCTCGTAGTCAGCTACAGCCTTGTAGAGTCTAGGTTGGTTAGGATCGGCAGCACCTGCAGCAGAAAAGTCTCCGAAGAGAATAGGATCCTTCAGCACCTCCTCTTGATGCGACGGGAAGTACTCCGACAGGATTGACTCGATATGACCCTGGCCAAAGACAGACGTGGATAAAAATATTTTTTTATTAAAATAAATAAAAAAACTTGAATTATCCATAAATGGACTCGGATGGTCAGATGGTCAGTGTCGTACAATGTTATCACATGAGCTGATTGTTTAGTAACTGGTGGTGTTAGTGGATATTATAGCTAAACTTGTAGTTTTTTGGTTCTTTTTCTTAAGGCTGTGTTTACATGAGAAATTTCAACCCGGGTCGAGTTCAGCCCGGGTTGAAAGTCTGTACGATAGACAAAAGAGGTGAGCGTTTACATGAAGACAGTTGACCCGGGTCAAATACTGATATGCCGCCAAAAGTCCACTTCTACAGTTCCGTATAGTCACGTGAATCCTTTCGCGCGAAATTTGCATCTGCAGCGCTGTTCAAACCTGGCGCGAGATACGCACAGAAGTACGTTTGTACGATTTTCTTGACCCGGGTTGATTTCAACCCTCCCCTTGGGGGGAGGGTTGAAATCAACCCGGGGCGAAATTTCAACCCGGGTCAAGCGCAATGCGTCATGTAAACGCGCCATTCACTTTGTGCACATGGCGGGTTGAAATCTGACCCGGGTCGAACTCAACCCGGGTTGAAACGCTTCATGTAAACACAGCCTTACTATAAATTGATCCATAAGTTGAGGGAATGAAAGAGGGAAAAGTCTGAAGAAAAAAATTGACTGTCACCACCTGGAATAAATTATCTTGTTCGTTCCGAGAGAGAACTCACGACGGCCGCTAACACCCGGTAAACGCTAGCGGCAGATGCAGCGCCTAACGGTGTGAGTGTGGGGACAAGTCTCACAACCACCGGCACAAGTGGCGTGAAACCCCACTACAGTCCATTCAGAAAAAGATGGACTTCTAGCTTTTGGCCATAAATGGGTCAAACTTTGAGTTTTTTTAGAATTTTTTTCTGCAATCCCCTATGGAATCCTCTTCCAATTATGTTTCTGAAGTCTATTTGTCCAAAAAGCAAGCCATAACAAGAATAGGATATCAGCCAGGTTTTGCCCCAGAAGCATTGAATTGGAAAAAACCATCAAAATCCAGGCCGTTTGACCCTGCCTGCAACAGTGCATTGTGGGGTTCGAACCCCAGTTCAGGTCCCCTTTTTGGACTCTTTTTCAAAGTTCAAATTTCGCAGCACTGCACTGTGTACAATGAAATCACGAAAAATCGCCAAATACGGGAGCTCGCCAGAGCCAGGGCCCATCTTTTTCTGAATGGACTGTAACCACATCCATGTATCCATGTCCCCTGTGCCTGGCCACGAGTCACCAGTTGTGCCTGGCCACGACTGGTGACTCTGTCGTGCTTTTGTGAAATATCCGAAATTTTCCAAAAATTTAAAAATTCTTGCCAATCAGCCCAAAATGGCCGGATTTATGACGTCAGAGAGATAGACTTTGTATGGGAGTGGATGGAGTAGATTGGGTGCAGCATGACAAGGACCATGGGTAGAATAGGAAGATGCTCCGAACCAAAGGGGTATGGAAGGGAAATGCACGCACGCACACACGCACACACACGCGCGCGCACGCAGCCCTCCCCCCCCCCCCCCCCCCCACACACACACAAACACACTCTCTCTCTCCGTCTAGACTCCTTTGGACTAACCTGAACCAGAGCTTTGTCTTTCTCCGTGGTGAGGCGATCAAAGAAGATGCGCATACCTTCATTGCGCCAACATCTGACATACATGGCTGGTTTCTCGAAACAAGACGGAGTTGTCAAGCACAGTCCGTGAGTGATGCGCGACAAATCTCGCAAGTTAAAAATGTAGTGAAACCTGGCAGATACACAGGGAAAAACCAGATTCACAGCCGGGTTTTGACTCGATCCTAGGCAAATCTCACCGTTGGAAAGTGCCAATGAAGCCATGCACATACACGGACAAAACCAGATTCAGCCAGGTTTCGATGGGTTTCGATAGCAGAATCTCAGAGGTGTAAACGCCAAGAGAGCAAAGCCAGGCAAACACAAATGGAAACTGGCGTGTTCATTCCTATCAGGTTCGGCCTCGTTTTCTCTGTGCTGCGCTGGCGAGTCCACAGAGGACGAAACAGTTCTGTCCACAGATTGAGTATGTTGTGAGTCACAAACAATTCCCCGGAACCCCCTAAATTTCACCAAATGTACAACTGAAAATTTTCAAAAAATGAAGCAAAATCCTGCATTTTGAGCGAAAAAAAGGGGGGGGGGTTCCGGGCACCCAGGAACCCATACGGGGCACGCGCCTGATTCCCATGCCCAGAGCAAAGCCCCATCTACCTGTATACATATAATGGGACTTTGGGTATAACGACACTTCACGAATAACGACACTTTTCTGACGCCCGGCCGAGTGTCGTTATACGCAAAGTTGACTATATCAGCTATTCAGTTTGGGCTAAACTGGACCCTCTCCCGTAGAGATTTCTGGACCCTCTCCCGTAGAGATTTCTGGACCCGAACCTGTTCTACTATACTCACTTGCTGGGTGTCGGTGGGAGATCACGTACGATCTTAGCGTACAGATCCATGGTCGCCGTGGTGAGTTTCTCACTGAGATCGTGTACTGACTTGGCAAACGGCTTGGTGTGCCCCTTCAGTATGGAGCAGAAGATGTGATGCAGACTCAGCTGCGACGGGAATGTAATGTTGTAGGTACTGAACAGCGAGATGAAACGCGGGTCAACCTCGTTACGACCTCCACCGGGCTGCAGATGGGCAGTGAGGAGAAAGACAGAGAATGATGATGAGTTTCACGGAGGGAGCACGTATAGAAACAGAACTTGCGTATGTGTACATCAGACAAACTAGTACACACACGTGTGCACTCGCACACCCTATGCCACATGCACGTACAGCGCTGGGAACTGAAACTGAAATCCGACCCCCTAGCGTCTCGTACGAATCGCTAACGCGGCTAGCGCACCGCTAGGGGGGGGGGGGGGGGGTGGGGGTTCAGATTTCAGTTCCCAGCACTGTACATGTATACATGCACACATGCCAACACAGAGGTAAGTGGATACATGTTTTAGCTATTCTTACCTTTCCCATGGCGGCAATGTAGCCGATATCTCGCAGGAACTTCCAAGAAAGATCTTTTCCACGGTCAAACATACCACCACGCTCTAACAGTAGTTTTAGCAGAGCAACCGGTTGTTGGGTGCCGTATGTGTCCACCTGGGAGAGGGAGAGAGAGAGAGAGGGAGGGAGAGAGAGAGAGAGAGAGAGAGAGAGAGAGAGAGAGAGAGAGAGAGAGAGAGAGAGAGAGAGAGAGAGAGAGAGAGAGAGAGAGAGAGAGAGAGAGGAGGGAGAGAGAGAGAGAGAGAGAGAGAGAGAGAGAGAGAGAGAGAGAGAGAGAGAGAGAGAGAGAGAGAGAGGGGCTTCATATCACATAAACGTTCTTCAAAGGACTTCAACCACCAGCACTCCAATACCAGCTCTGCCGAATGTAGACATACCTGAGGCATATTCATGTCATCAATGAAGACTATCAATCTCTTGCCGGGTGGAGGGCCAAACGAATCCTTTGTTCTCTTCTCAACGTTTGCCTCCAGATTGCGCTGCACATCCATGGAGGTCGTTCGTGACGAGAAGTTGATGTTCAACAGCAGCTGCAAGGGAACAAGATAAGGTGAGGGAATGGGAGTAGTCGAATGAGTCGAAAATATCCTAGTGGTGACGAATCGCAAAGAAGAGTGTGTATTGTTATATGCTGAGCACCGTCCGGGGGATAAACAAAGGGATGGGAGAGAGGGGGTGGGGGGT